TTTTTTTTTTTTCTTGCCTTCTGGAATAGGCGATTCGGCGAGCAATGATTCGTCATCACTGATGTGGTGATTTTCCGAGAATGATTCGCTCATCATTTTTTTTTTTCTGAAAGTATAGATATATATTTTGATCACTGGTTTTCTAGTCTCATGAAAGGTATATCAGCCTGAATTGGTACACATTTGTACGAAAGTCTAAGGTTGACTACCCTCCGCGAGGGGTATCCCCGTGGTAGCTGTTGCTCCCGCGAGGTTTAGATGGGTTCTGAGGGTGGGGGATCCTGGTACGTAGATATGGGTCAGTATTCGCAGTGAAGAGAATTTAGTTAGGGTGTAGTAACTACCGTAGAATATCGTTACACAAATAGTATCTTCATAATGAATTATTTCTTGCAAAGATTTTTTTATCCCCGTCCAATAGGCACAATGTTATTGTAATTACGTTTTCACGAATTTTCGTTCAGCATAAGGAAGCGTTTTCTGAGGTCCCAGCAAACGCTTCGTTGTAATGAGATTGTACTGTATAATAAATGTAGTCAAACCTCGATAACTCGAACCTCCCAAGTGGAATAACTTCCTCTTCATATGCTGAATTTTTGTGAAGCTCCTGTCTGAATTCCCTCAGAAAGAATGACTTAAAAACCTCCCAAACTCAAAGGCTTTCCCACCCAATCCTCCATAACTATAATTATTTGGGTTCTTTTGGCTTTTATTTTATGGACACTGGGAAGAGAAAGGCAATAAAAATGTAACTCGAAGTGTTTTGAAAGGAAGTGAAAGACTAACTGGGCGGATAAACCTTCTTCTCCCAGTTCACCGTCCTGTTAACTCATGTAAGAAGGAATTGAAGGCCCGGGCAGAATATCACCAATTACAATTTCCTCTAATTCTTCTTTCTCTCCCCCTTCCCCCTCCAAAAATGTTCATGCAACTGGAAATCTCCCTGAACGGAATTAATTGATGGTCCCCTGAAAATCGACTTGAAGAGAACATGTATATACTATGTTTTGATCATTCATTGTAGTCCAGTATTCCAAGGAAGTTTATGTTTTTTTTATTTTTGCGCCGAATTGAGTTTCTCATCCGCGTCTGTCGACGAGGCGATCGAGAACTTCCGACAAAGTTCATGACCTTTAGCAGTCCTGGTCGAGTCCAATTCGGCAAGCTGATAATTAAATGCCCAAGTGCGAAGATACCCAAGTTTCACTCCCAGTACCTTGAGCGGCAAGAACTTCGGTGCGTGGGAGTTGAGGCTGCTGCTTTAACTTGAGTACAGTACTGTACTTGCACTCACAGGCCAGAAATGATTACCTCGAAAATTGATTCCCGAGACCATTTCCGGGGAATATTCCGGGGATATGTAAGGGAGCATAATCAATTGATGGTCTATTCCGGTTACCCCACGTATAAAGCCTGATGTTCGACGCATTTATCACTACGTTTCCTTTGCTTCTTTAATTTTACTTTTACTGTATACTTCCGTATTTTAATGTAACCTGGACGGACGAGTGCATTCAATTTTATCCCCGCATGAAATTTTGCGGCGTTTTATGCGCCCGTCGGAATTATGCATGCGTTGACTCAACTGGCGTATTTATTTCATTTATTTAAAAGGAAAAAAGAGAAATAAATAAAAGAAATGTCTCAAGCTCCGCATTATGTAGAACTACTGGGGACTTTTGTGCTGGAGAGCATTATCTTGTAGCCACGGTCACCACAGGAAACCCCCCTTTATCCCATGCTGCGCGGCACTCTGGCAAACGTCCCACGCAAAATTTGCTCGACCTTGAGGTTATTTTTTCAGTGGTGGGATTTAAAATATTTTCTTCTTCAGGGTATCGAAGCAAGATCTTGAAAACATATTTATAGGATGCAAATAGTGCTGGGCGGTGGATCTGACATGAAGGAGTCACTATATATGACTCAAAATTTGCTCAACCTCGAGGTTATTTTTATGTGGGGGATTTAAAATATTTTATTCTTCAAGATATCGAAGCAAGATCTTGAAAACATATTTATAGGATGAAATTATTGCTGGGCGGTGGATCTGACATGAAGGAGTCACTATATATGACTCAAAATTTGCTCAACCTCGAGGTTATTTTTATGTGGGGGGATTTAAAATATTTTCTTCTTTAGGGTATCGAAGCAAGATCTTGAAAACATATTTATACGATGAAAATAGTGCTGGGCGGTGGATCTGACATGAAGGAATCACATATATATATGTCTTCCCTTGTTCATCCCTGCAGAAATATATTGCGAATAATTTGTGCAACTTGATCTGCAGTACAGAACGTTTGAATGCTTCATTTCATTGAACTTGATATTATTTGAATGTACTGTAAAATGAAGTCTCGGTTAATGTGCTTGATCCATACACGAGAAGTCCATCACCAGAGCTACAGTATATGTTGAATATACAGTATACAAAAATTAATTGAAGGAAATCCCGTCAGGAAGGATTTTCTGCATGAATTCTTGAATAAATTCATAAATGAGTAAATGTCTTGACATGCTCCTCTTTCGTGATTAAATAACAACATATACAAGTACAAGTCAAACAATGCTTTGCAAAATGGATAATAATACCAAGATTTTGATTCATTCCAAAAATGATGCAGCCGCCGGCGGCATTTAAAGCGGAAACTTCGCTTATACCGTATTTTGCGGAAATAATTACAGTATTCAAGCAGTTTATTATGTGAAGAAGGGTCAGTCTTATGATCCAGAAATGTGTGACAGACTGCTGAGTCCATTTAACGAAATATCAATCATACAAAGGCGTCCATTATCCGAAGTATAACAATGTTGTGACCTATGTACTGTATTTTCTCGGACATTGGAACGTCTGAAATATCGCTGAGCAATTTATATTCTCTCAACTACTGTACTCTGCTGGACCAATGTTAAATTTTAATACAGTTCCTGTGATGTGCAGACTGAAATGAAAGTTTTTGTGGCTGCCATACTATATGGCTATTGTCCGTTTCCATTCAGATTTGATGATGCATTCAAACTGAAGATTCAAAAAGATGACACAAGTGTGACAAAGCTAGAGCAGTCGAAATCGCCGTAAAAAAGAAGAGATTTCGTGAAAAGTTTAATCGTGACTGAATACTTTGCTTATACGAGAATGCGCTTGCTATTGGGGACAGATGTCGCCTCAATATAATTTAGTATGTAAAGCGGATCGCAAGGAGTAAGAGTATAAATGAAAAGCAGTAATGAGCCCAGGACAAGGGCCGGAATTCCTTCTTGGAATTCCTGGTTAAGAAGTATACGGATATATTTCAGGAATAAGATCACACAACTTAGCAAGCTCAAGTCTGAGCAGTTCCTCGACACGGGGAATTTTTCAGAGAATTTCTAAAAACTCTGCATTGATGCAGATAAGTCTTGTTTACCTGTCATCAAACAACGTAAAAATGAAAAAAAATTAAAACCAGAATTTACTCATGGATGCAATTATTCGCCTTTCAAATTGCTTTTTTAACCTCCTCCACGTGAACCCGCCCTCACAGCATCAAATACGTCTCTTCTAATAGAAAAAAATTCGAATAAAAAAAGCGCAAAACTGAGAGGCTTGATGATTTGGTTGAAGGGGGCTTTTCAGCCATTGTGTCTTGGCCGACGGGTTCATTCAAACACCATAGAAAAAATTTTTTTCAGCAACGTGGTTCAAATTCTGACCTCTTAAGTACTATACAAATGATGAATGCATGAGACATTCTCGAAAAAATACGTCCCTTCGCTCAGCAGTGCGAAGAGGAGGAAAGCCCAACTCTGCGTTGTACAACTGAACGCCATGTAACTGATGGTATCCGTGAACAGACACTCTTTTGTATTTTTGTTATGGGATTGTTTACATTGACATGTACCGGATTTTCTTTCGGCTTCGTACACTGCAGAAATTTTATCAATTTTATCGCATAAGTTCCGATATATTTTTTGCGTGTCAGAGAATTTAATTCTCCAATCTTTTTCTTTTTTTATGAACAAAAGAAGGTTTACATTTACAAGCTGGGCCTGATTCCAGTCATAGCAAGAGTCTCAAGAAAAAAAACAAAACAAAGAAATGATTGCTTGGATGTGCAGTATTTCTGTCTGTCAGGAATGAAAATTCAATTATTACTGGACGCAAAACCGGTGAAAAAATAATATTTTTCTTGATAAATTTTGTTATGCGACATTTTGAATTTTTAATATAGCATATCATTTTATTCAAGATTTGCTCTGATTGGAACATTTCTATCTCATTCCAGAGTTCCAGACATACGAAAGATCCACCAGCATGACCCCGTAGAAGTTTGTATTTTATCAGGTAATATTATAGTGAAAATTATAAAATGCTTTTGTGAGTTCAAAAGCAATTAGCAAATGCTTTTAAGCTGTCAACTGGCTGTGAATCAAAACTTCTGAGGGCTACAAAATTCATAAATGTTCCGCCTTCTCTCTTGAACATTTGCCTAAACTTGGAAAATTTCATAAATTTAAACTCGAACAGTTCTAAAATCCAAGTCTTTTCGGCTAAAGGATTGTTACGCAAAACAGTTCCATTCCGTGAGTCACTTTTTTAACCCTGGGAAATGAATAAATTCAGATATTATTTTCTCTAATTCTGAAAATGAAATTCAGAATACTGCACAAAGAAATTCAAAATTTCGTTGCACGCTTTATTTTGTAAAGGATGAGGGATCTACTGTATATCTACTGTATAGGGATCTATTGTATAAAAAAAATACAAACTTCCGGTCAATCAACTAGGACAATTGACTAATTCACCTGCCGCTCAGTTGGGTGCTCGCTCAAATGAACTCGGCCCCCACTTGACCCCGCACCCAATTTAAGAACGGAAACACGAGGAGAGGCACTCGAGAAACCTTGCGAGTGGGTTCCGGAAAGAAATCGGGACGCAGGAGAAATAAATCTTTACTCAAGCAGACCGCAGCACTTCAACACGAAGGAAGTTCCAGACCTTTTTGTACCGACGACTAAAGTTTCTGGTGTCGACTAAGAAGGGTGCGTTCTTTTTTTTTTTCATCTTATTACTCCCATTTTTTTTACCGCTTCGAAAACGTCCTTTTTGAAGGGAGTCCTCAATCCAAAATGCATCAAGGCGAAGTGCTTCCGGTTTTCCCGCGTGCTTCCGCATCCTTGATTGCAAAGGATTCTGCGACTTTAACTTTAATATGCTGAATTTCACAATGCCTGATGTTCTTATAGGTGTGCAGAAAAAAATCTGAATCTGCGCCAAACGAAAAAAATAAATAAAAACAAAGATCTTACTTCGTTCCTCATCTCCCGCAAACCTTTTTTCAAGATCCGAAATTAAACAATAACCTTGACTACCTGTATATTTTGCTGTTTTCAGCAGGGATTTTTCGATATCATCGGAAGGTCATTCTTCTTCGGGAGGAATTGAAATTGAAAAATCAGGGTTGGTGTGAACTTTTCCCCGCTTTCCTCTTCCGATTTTCAATTTCTTTCGAAGATGGCTGGATTCGAATGCGTTATTTCTACCCAGTAAAATTGATCCGTTTCCTGACCAATTTCAAAATTTCGCATACTTGAACTAAAATGGATAGAAGACAGAGTTGACAGATTGATTCATTACTGCAAATAAATTAGGTCTACCTCGTACGCACACACGCATGTTTCACGAAATTTCATGAAAATAAAAAATACGGACCACGAAGAGATGGAATTACAGTCACAGGTTTCCGAACCCCCTAGCATAAAAAATTACCTGTAGAAATTTTTTTAAAGAATACACGGTAATTTCAGGATTGGAACTTGAAAGTTAAATGAGTTTGGTTTTGAAAAATCGCCAAGGGCAAAACGCTTTGTTTCCAGGGTACCGAAAGCAAGACGGTATCTCAAGTCTTTAAAGATGAGAAATATGGAAAAAACCCGAAATTACTGAAGCCTATAACCCTTTCAAAGTCTGGCTCATAGTCACGACAGTAGAATGACAAATTATCACCACATCACTGATGACTCAGAAGGCTCGTGAGCCACAGTAATGATTAAAGGCAGAAACTATACAAACTTTTTCAATGGCAACGCAAAAAAAAGCCACAACCTCAACAATTTCAATATATAGTAGTACAGTATAGTCAAATTGATCAACCTTTTGTACTGCTGTGGGACCTTTTCAGCAAAGAATAACTACATTTCGAATCAATGACGAGACCCGTTCTGAAATCTTAAAGGATCAAGATAAACTGTTGGCCCTATATGATTTCTCATCAAAGATTCTCTTTAATTTGTTCATTCAGCTAAACCTCACCCAGAAACAAGCTGAAGACCTAGTGCTTTAAATTAACTTTTTTCTGATATTTTGTTTTCAATGTCTCAGGGAATGAATGGGTGTATGCATACATGTCAGATGTCCAGTTGTATTTTGTGGATTGTATTTTTTTTATAAATTTGTGCTCTGTTTCCTGCTCTGAAGTGATTAAATGTCATTGAGTGGATTTGGGTTGGGTGGGAAGGGGGTTTGGTTGTGGAAATCTTGATTGAACCTCGCGAATGCTGAAAAGCTGCAAATAAAGTGTTCTGTTCATTCATTCATTCGAATCAGAAACGAATATTTTTATAGCTCGAGGCATCATTCTATTCCCGAAATTGGATAATTTCAGGAACCATCGCGAATAAAATTTCGATAATAGCAAGAAAGCAGCGTCAATAATCACAAGATCAACCCCCATTACAATAAAAAAAAATCACACACTTCCGGGCGTCTCGTTTGCTTTCAAGAGAGCCCCAGGATAATCAATTACTCGGTGCGGGGTGTGACCAAGCTGTAATCTGAACACTCAGCAGGGAGGAAGTTTCATCAGGAAATTCACCCCAGGGAAATTCCGGTGATTGCTTGCCTATATCCTCCCCCCCCCCCCTCGTTTCCTCTCATTCTGGGAAAGGATAAAGTGCAGACTCCTCCTCATTCCGGAGTGCTTCAAGAGGCTCTCTGTTGTTCTTCTTGCGTCTTTTTAATCAAGAGGTTCGTTATAGTGAACTAAGCACATTTCTGGCAGGTAATGGTTTGTCGCGTGGAAGGATGGTGATGTTCTGTACCATATGTACCCCGCACTGTATTCTCTTACTTTCTTGATGAACTCCGCTGATTAATGGGAAAGAATAGTGTTCTCCTTCTCCAGCACGCACCAAGTGTCCCCGTTGAAAAGGAAGTACCGTACAAATTTAATATACTGGATATTTTCGGCTTATAACCCATGTACCGCATTCAAATCCCTATAATACAGGGGGATTCTCTCCGCAACAAAATTCAACGGACCATTAAAAAAAATCGTTCTGGAGAGAATTTTGTGGTAGAGAACCTCTATATAGTCTATAACATAGGGAGAGAACCATACGAGACAATAATGAAAAATGTAAATCGTTATACATGTTGACTCTCTCTACAACGAAACTCACGAGGCCAGAAACAAATTCGTTGCAGAGATACAGTAATTTCGTTGTAGAGAACCTCTGTAACATTGGGAGTTTACCCTGCGGGACCACAAAATTTTTTTGGATAGAGAAAATTGTTGTGGAAAAGTTTGTTGTAGAGTGTACACATGAAAATAATTTTTCTGTAGACAAGAACGTTATAGAAAGGGTCCGCCCGTATTCGATATACAACGTCAAAGTTTGCGTGACGGAAAAATTACAAATTTGAACTCGAATTTTCCCACTTTTCTTCATATATTTATGAGGTTGAGGAAAATTAAGGAAACATACCGTATACCGTACGGGAGGCGGACAGGAAACCCGACCCTGGAATATTTTTTTTTTATTTGCGATGAAATTAATTTAAAATTAATTCAAGAAGCTTGAAAAAGTGTTTATGGAACATTGAACAATTGAGTGTTGTGTGGGCTGACACTGCTTGCGAGTCCTTTCGAAGACACGCTTGACTAGGACAATCTTTAAAAATTTAGCTATTTTGAAATACTGTATATTTTGAAAGCGTTCGGCGTGTTCCTCAGTGCCATTTTTCAATGCATGCTCTAACCCAACCAATGCCAATGAGAGGATCGTGCAATTTTACCTTATTTTTTTCAGAAAATTTAAAAAAAGCATTAGATCTCTGTTTCAACTTCATAGATGACCCTATTTGTCAAATTATACAGAGCTTTAGATCTTACTCACGTATCTTTTCGTTCAGCTATCATTTTCGTGCAGATTCTAAATCAAACTTCGGCGGAAAAAATAATGAAAGGGGAGTAGAAGGCAACCGGAAAAATTAAGATAAACAAATTCAAGCTAGAAAAGTATTTGGAAATTTGCAGGGGTGGCATCAGCGCTGGTTCTGCTTTTCCAGAACACAAAGGAAATAATCCTTACGGATTCTTCATTGCAGAGAAAAGTTTTCAAAGAATGTAGGCAGTTACGCAGCAGAAAGCATTTCTGGTGGAATGTATTTATTCACAAACTTTATGAATGCACTACAACGGGCCCAGAGGCGATTTCAATTCGAGGTTCCGTTTCTTCGAATCCCCATATACTGTATACTCCTACACGAACAGGTTTAAAAATGCTAAGTCTCAAAAAGGGTTTTGTTCTGCTTACGACTATTTTATTCGCAGGCGGGTGCCGGAAATATTCTGATGGAAGAGACAGAATACCCTACTGGATGATGTGAATCAGAGGAGGCAAAGTCAGGGTCCACCTTCCAGTTCCATCTGGTTCTCATATATAAGTCTGCTCTATCTAATGCGGTTCTACGCAGCGAGGGGAAACTTTTCCGGCGGAAAAAAGGAAGTTTAGCTGTGCAGCGGATTAACCTACTTCCTGCTTCCGAGCCTTTTCACATTTCCAAAGTGTGCCAAGGAAGTCTAGCAATCATCTTTCCTCTTTATTTATTTTTTACTTTTTTTGCTTTTCGCGTCAACTTTCAAAATCTTTCCTCCCTCATTTCTTTTCGATCACGCTGGAGATAGGAGAAAATTCCGCACTTGCTTCAGCTGTACTGCATGTCGAAAATAGGATAGAAAACATTTCTGAGAGGAAATACAGTGAGACCCCCACATGCGGACACCTCAACATGCGGGCAATTTGACATATGGACACTTATTTTCCCATAAAGAATTTTAAAAAGGCCAAACATGAGGACACTGACTCAACATAAGGACATTTCGTGATAAAATTGCAAATACATTTCAGGCCAAATTACAAGAAACAGATATTTCAAGCCCTAAATTGATGTAAGAAAAGTTCTTGGGCATTTCTAAATTGGGAGACAATTTTTATTTTCATGGAATTATGGTGAGTATTTTGTCCATAAAACACCAATTAAAAATTATTTAATTTAAGTCTAAGGGAAAATGAGACTCAACTTAGGGACATTTCAACTTACGGACACTCTTGATGCACCAATTACGTCTGCATGTTGGGGTCTCACTGTATGTCAAACTGTGCCAGCAGGGTTAAAATACTGATTTTTAAACTATGCCAAGGAAGTCTAGCCATCTTTCCTCTTTATTTTGTTTCCGTTTTTTTCTATCAATTTCCAATAAATTCTCCATTTACTTTTTTTTTTATAAATTTCCCTGGTGATAAGAGAAAATCCCACAATCTCTTAATTTGTTGTTCAAGTCGAAAAGACCAGGGTAGAAAACATTTCGGAGAGAAATTATGAAAAGCATCAGGGAAACATTCAAGATAATTTCGTCGTCCATTGCAGATTTGAAGTTCTGGAAAACAGAAACTGGCTAGCGTTTCCTTTGAGTCACGCTGTCTCATAGATTTCTAGAACAGTCAGGAAAAATCAAGACGTTCGGATTTGTTTCCTGAATTTCAAAATAATTTCAAAAGCGCAAAAAGTCATGTATCGAGTACAAAACGGTGTTCACAGAGCTGTAGAACGTTCTTGAAGTTTTCATCCGTAAGCATGGAAGCATATTTTCATATCACATTCAATTTGAGATAAATCTCGGAAAAAAGAGGAGTACTTCATAGTAATTTTTCACTGCTCCAAGGTCGTTCATGTGATTTGAAGGCTTTATCATGACGATTCCGACAATTTTTAAAATTATTTAAAATCATTTTTAATATCATTGAATCAGTTTTCCGGGATTTTCATCAGTTTTGTCCATGTTGTTTCAACTTTCAACGACGTGAAATGATTAAATGCGAAGATGCTGTTGAAAGGACTCACATTTCGAATTCTCAAAGGCTTTTCCCAAATATTTTTTTTTCGTTTATGAGCAGTGAGTCTTCCATCTTCTCCGCGTAACATTTTAGCTTGCAGCACGAGGAAAAATGGTCGACACGTGCTTGGAAATGGGAAATATTCACTCAGATATGCCAAGCCGTGAACTTTTACATTTCACAGTGCTAATTTGAAATAATATTCCGTGACTGAAAGCAGAACGGGGGATTCCAGGGATCGCCAGCGGCACTAATTTGCATCCCTTGAGACCAGCGAGATGCGGAGACTCTGGTAATTAGTGAGAACATGGGAGAAATTGAATCCTGCTTTACATGAGGCCCTGCTTGCACAACATCCGTTGAAATAGTCCATGTTGTTCTAAAATTAAATCTTATATAATTTTGCAATGCATCTAATCATTGCCAGAGAATAGTTAGCAGACAAATGTTCAGGATTAAAAAAAAACGTCTTAAAAAATTTGATGGAAGAACTTTTGAAATCAACTTGTTCTGAAATTCAATGAAGAGACCCTTTCTGAAATCTTAAAGGATCAAGATAAGCTGCTGGCCTGGTATGCTTTCTAATTCAAAGATTCTCTCTAAATTGTTCATTCAACTAAACCTCATACAGAAACAAGCTGAAGACCTAGTGCTTTAAATTAAATTTTTTACTGATATTTTGTTTTCAATGTCAGGGAATGAATGGGTGTATGCATACATGTCAGATGTCCAGTTGTATTTTGCGGATTGTATTTTCTTTTATTTTTGTTATCCATTTGTGCTCTGTTTCCTGCTCTGAAGTGATTAAATGTCTTTGAGTGGATTTGGGTTGGGTGGGGAGAGGGTTTGGCTGTGGAAAACTTGATTGAACCTTGTGGACGATGAAAAGCGGCAAATAAAGTGTTCTGTTCATTCATTCACTTGAAACCTCATCAGATTTCATCAATCACTGGTATAGGTTGAACATCGAGTTTCAAGCTTTAGAAAGTCACAAATTTCATCAAGTCTTCAAAAAGGATTCCATAGAAATCTTACCTTTGTTATGCGCCACTTTTCAAAGGGAACACGCAATGATACATTTGAGAAATGTCAGAAAACAATCAGCAGCAGTGACATGTCCTTTTTTGAAAAACTATTGTTAATCTTATGTAAAGGAAGGTTTGCACTTAATTAGGAATGTCATCAGATTCCATAAACTCGCTTGTAAATTGACTGATTGAGCATCCAGTTTCAAGTTCCAGAAAAACGCAAATTTCATCAAGTCTTGAAAAAGGATTCCACAAAAATCTTACATTTGCTATGCGCCATTTTCCGAAGGAGAAGAAATCGTTATTTCTTTTGAAAGTTTCTTTTCTCCTTCTCTTCCTCGTATTTTGCTTTGCTAGCTCAAAACCTGTATTATTTCACTCAGTGCATCTTAAAAATGCTCTTCACCGTTTTACGTGACGTAGAACTTGAAAATAGTTTGTTGCAATGCAAGGGATTATATTCTAGTAAAATCAAGGACACGTTAAAATGTTAGAAAAAAACTGGTAAGGAATTTTCAAGGTCAAAGTAGCAAAATCCGTGCCTTCGTGATAAATCAAACATAATTGGGCTAGTCTGCAGCAGGCATTCAAACGAGAAGCCTTCACGTCAGACTCAGGGAGTCCCGGGTACTGCTGGCCTCGTCATTTTCTGTTTCCTTTCCACACTAACCCGGGTTTCCATTCCTTCCCGGTTATTCTGTGCATGACTTCGATTCCTGACAAGTTCAGGCAGCCCTTTTCCGAGAACCAAAAAGCGAGATTTGATCCACCATGTCGAGAAAGGGCGAGAGAAACACTCTTTGAGAAAGGGTTACTCATCTCATCTGTGATCGTACATCAGAGCCACTGGAATCAATATGGACTCTGGATAAGCTCTGGTACATGAGTCACAGTCGGAGAAGTTGCAGTTATAGGATGCTGTGTTTGATTATACCCAGTGCAGAATATAGTTCCCCAGAATAAATTTCAAATCTTTTTGCAGGAGTTGTAACGTCCTGAAGCGGTGCAGCTCCAGCATCCACCACAATTGGCCTTGAAAACTCATTGCATTTTGAGGCTAGTGCGCCTTGCCAAAATCCTGTTTTTGCAAGACTGACTGAGCTTCACTCAAGTCCAAGAAGTGGTCATCACTTCTTTGATTTTCACTAAATCAGCAAATCCTGAGCCAGGAAAAGAAATCACCTGATTTCTTCCTGGCCAAGTCTGAGCACCTGGGTATAAAAGCCTTCATTCCTCTTTGAGAGAAGAAATGAGAATCTTGTGTTAAAGGGCCTGGAATGGCTGGAATGGAACGGAATGGCCTTTTGACTTAAGTTATCTTATTCATTCCTCTGAGCTAACCAACCAATCTTACAATTGACTCTGTCATTCCAACCACTTCATTAACAGCCAAAGGATGATCTGGGCAATGATAATGAACTCTTCTGAAAAGAGTTTGAGTTCTTATTCAAAACTTGTATTCTGATGGCTGCCCAATTCAATTCCTTTGTCTGGGATCCAATGGACCCATGACATGAGTTAGCAAAATTTCTCTTCAAGAAATATTCAGCACATATGCTGTAGTACATCATCAAAAGGAATAATCTGTTCAGAGGCAAAGCAAACTCATGCAAAGAAAAAAACCAGACCTGGTGACAAACAAAACTAACAAAGCACAACCAATATCACTAAATTGCATTCAAAGCTATAGAAAGCCAAAAATTTCAGTTGACATACACGTATACGGTGTAACCTAGAAAAGTGGGAAAACGAGTTAGATGCAAAATGCCTGTTCACAGTTGAGAAAATTATTAAAAAAAAATTCAGCTATAAAGTGAGATTTTACGGCAATAATTTTTGAATCAGTTATTTGTTTCAAATTTGTGGGCCTATTTTGCATGGATTCGAATGCTAAAAAGACTGCCTGTGAAAAATTATACATTTTCGAGAAAATCCCATTTGAATGAAAGAATCTCCGAACATGTGATGATGATAAATCGGCTTTTAAAAATTGGGATTTCACTACTGGCTTCCAAAAAGGAAAAGCACTACACAAAAACTGCATGAAGAACATTTAATCAATTTAAATGTTATACTGAATTTTAGTTAAAAAATCAGGCGACATTTACCAGGCCTCACTATACAGTAATTGATTTACAAACCATTTCCGATCGCAGAAATGAACGCTTCATTGCCAAATTTCCTTTCTGGAATGTCAGACAGGTGTCGCGCCGGAATCACACACCTGCTTTAAAAAAACATACCATATGAACCTGCATTTCTGCAATATGTAACACAGCTCGTCCTTATTTAACGCAAATAATGAACCCATAAAACATAACCAATATGCAAACAATTTTAAAGTCACTTTACCATGCTAATTAAACTTCATGCGACATCTAAACGTTTCATAGATAATCTTTTAGTCAGGCATGTCGAACGTTGAACAAAAAATCAAAATTTCTGGTCTGACCTGAACAACTCGAAATTTCCAGTGGACTTTATGTTCATTTGCTGCTTGGCTTTGTCCTTTTCAATTTGAGCTCTTTGACTCTCATTCAAGGATCAAGGCACAATAATTCTGTTCTCAGACTGACGACGAAGAGGCCGACATCAGAAACTCTGAGATGAATGAATAATGAGACAGTAGTTGAGCAAAGTACGAGCTCAGTAACTTCCCAATCTAATCGCGCCTTCGCTGCCACATTCAGTCAAAGCATCCGTTTAATGAATGCTCGAGTCGTGGAGTTGCATAAATTAATTAATTGGGAGCTCAGAGAAATTTGCTGTTTACTTAATGAAGGCATCTTACACTCCACGGAGGTGTCTTCGATTCTCAAAAAAAGTCTGAAATGCATCCCATAAATTGTTACCACACATTTTATTTTGAAGGCAAAATTCTTGGAATTTTGATGTCTATTGAAATGTTTACACAAAAATTGCTGTGACTGAAACATAGCTGTATAGAATAAAAATACTGTATACTTCTGGTTATGAAGAAATAATTGAATGCTGTAGAAAGTGTAGATATGCCATACGAGCAATGATAAAAAATATTCAGCAAGACCCCGATATGCGGACATAATTAGTACTTGGACATTGTCCCTATGTTTGAACGTCCGCATGTCGGATCACATTTTACCATAGACTTGTACGGGAACTTACTTAATTGGCTTTTCCAGTCTATGAAAAATTAGGAATAAATCCTCCAAAAAAGAATAAACTGTCTTTTTTTCAACACATAAGATACACAATATAACTGTGCAGAATAGAAACTCACCAAATATGATCTTTTGGCATCAAAATAATGACCATGAAAATCAAAGAAAAAGTTCAAGTTTTGCTACACCATGTGCAAAGATGATGGAAAACACTCCAAAAAAGCACAAAATGAACCTTTTTTGGATTTTAAAGTTGAGTAGTAAACTTGTACATCGGAATTCATTTTTCATTTTTTGTAAACTTAAAAAGCTTTATTTGCTCAATGAGACATATCTAAATGAAAGAAATCCGACTTCTGTAGAAATGTGGGGAAAGTATGAAGTTTTACCTCGAGAGATTTTCCGAATGTTGGTGCACATTTTTACAGGTTTCAATTGTCCCTTAGTTGAATCGCTCATATGCCAGGGTGTCCGCATGTCGGAGTTTCGCGGTATATTTTTCAGGTCAGACCCATTCATGCACTTTACCTCCGCTAGTCAAAGAAGGGACTCCACGAAAAAGAAGATCACCTTCATTTACTTTTTTCGAGGCCGATTTTCGAAAGAAAATGGCGTTTCTTATCGAGTATATTCGGGCAACAACAACAAAAACAACATAGGGGCTCTCCTTTTTGCATCCACGCCCGAAAAAAGGCACAATATTCGGATTTACCGGCTCATCCACCCGTTGAATCCGTGTATCAATTTCCGCACATCGCTCAGCAGGAATACTGTATATACTGTATATATACAGTACAGTATACTACTATACACGTGGGAGAAGCAACAAAGCAGCTTTTTCTCCGCTCCCCTGGCTTATTCTCTCCCCACGTCAAAAAAATAAAAATAAACGAGTATTCCCAAGGAAGCCAACTTTCACAATTGAGTTTTCTACCGGCGGGTTTATTTGATCAGGGGGGTTACCTGGTAAGTTTTCGGGAAACCAATTTTCCTGCTGAAGCTCAGTTATTTTGCGTGCAAATATTTTCAAATGCACCGAAAACGGGCAGAACTCCGGTTATCCGATCAGCACGTGTTTTCGCCAGGATAATCGATTATAACGGATACTGAATTCTTGCAGCATTTTTAAAATCAAGGGTATGAAAGCTTAGGAATGGTCAGGAATATTATTGCTGACGTTGACGAGAAATTCCGAAATTTTACATATTTTTTCTGAATGACCAGATGGCTCAAAATGACTTAATTCAAAATCATTTTCTCAGAACATCAGTTCCAGCAATCCATTCATCCAGAAGAAAAAGTGCATGCAGTTGCTGCTGGTCATGGGGCATGCAAGGCCTGTACAGTTTTAAACTTTATGAAGATGCTTTTTCAAGCCGTACACCTTGACAATTTAGTAATTATTCACAGAAGTCAAAAATAGAATAAAATTAGGTGAAAATTAAAGCGCAGTACTTGGTCAGTGCGCAAACCAGCCAGGGATTTTCTCCCCAAGAGCGCTGACTTTTCTTTGCACTCAACAAATGGACAACAATTCTCACACAAAAGGCAGTGATATACAACACTATTTGATCTCAAAGAATGCAAGACTAAGTATTGCAGAAAATTCCACACAAGCCCAGCGCCCAGCAGCATGCGTGCACAACATGAGACTTGCAGCATCCTATCTTGCCAATTTCCTTCCCCTTTCACACCCCCTCCTTCTGAATTTTGGGGAAATTTGCAGGCTCTCCAAGACAGCGTGCAGTTTTCTGGTTAAATCAACTGCATCCTGTAATTCCTTTATTCCTGAAAACAGCTCTCCAGAACAGCAAGCTCAGTGAAAAAATTCGCCTGACAACTTTTTTTNAGGGGGGTTACCTGGTAAGTTTTCGAGAAACCAATTTTCCTGCTGAAGCTCAGTTATTTTGCGTGCAAATATTTTCACATGCACCGAAAACGGGCAGAACTCCGGTTATCCGGTCAGCATGTGTTTTCGCCAGGATAATCGATTATAACGGATACTGAATTCTTAAAGCATTTTTAAATCAAGGGTATGGAAACTTAGGAATGGTCAGGATTATTATTGTTGAAGTTGATGAGAAATTCCGAAATTTTATTTATTATTTCTGAATGACCAGATGGCTCAAAATCAGTTAATTCAAAATCATTTTCACACAAAATCAGTTACAAGAATCCATTCATCCAGAAGAAAAAGTGCATGCAGTTGCTGCTGGTCATCAGGCCCCCATGGCCTGCACAGTTTTAAACTTTATGAAGATGATTTTTCAAGCCGTACACCTTGACAATTTAGTAATTATTCACTGCAGTCAAAAATATAATAAAATAAGAATAAAATGATAATTTAAACACAGTACTTGTTTTGCACCAACGTTGGTGCAAAACAAACCAGGGATTTTATCCCCAAGAGCGCTGACCTTTCTTTGTACTCAATAAATGGACAACAATTCTCACACAAAAGGCAATGATACACAACACAATTTTATCTCAAAGAACGCGTGCACAACAGGAGATCCGCAGCATCCTATCTTGCCAATTTCCTTCCCCTCAATCACCCCCTCCTTCTGAATTTTGGGGAAATTTGCAGGCTCTCCAAGACAGCGTGCAGTTTTCTGGTTAAATCAACTGCATCCTGTAATTCCTTTATTCCTGAAAACAGCTCTCCAGAACAGCAAGCTCAGTGAAAAAATTCGCCTGACAACTTTTTTTGTGGAAAGTTTTCATTCAAATGGTTCTTGTGACCATTCAGTGACACTTGGGACCATAAAACAACATAGCATTTGAAAGAAAATGGAACAAGCTTTCATTTGGTGCCTTTTTCATTGTCACAGCTCAATTTTCTACTGAGCTATTTGAAGTTTAAAAATTGATTCACTTTTTTGGCCAATCCTGTATATGTAATATCTATTTGTAGACAGAATGCGCCAGTATAATAAATATCCCTGCTGATGATTCGTCGGTCTGAGAAGAAAGGAAGCAGCTAAATTTAAATTATCAGGTCTGCAAGCAAGCTGTACAGATTGAGGTTTTCTATGAATAAATATGTTGGTAAGTTTAATGTATAGTCGTTTATCGAAGCCGTAAAATTTATTCATTGAGAAAATAATTAGCCACACTGTTGGCATTTCGAAGACATGTACTGCGCTGCATTAAGGTGGGCGTCGTAAGATGGGGGGAAAGTTCGCATCACAATTATTCTACAGTTTCTTGAATATGACGAGAATTTTTTTTTGTCTAGATTTCGGAAAATTTTAGATTTGCATGAATACAAAAGAGATGATAGCACTTTTCTATAAAGAAATATTGCGAAGATTGGAAATGCGGAATTTTTGGAGTCTAGATCATACTTTTATCTTGAACGCAAGAATTTTCATATTTTCTCAGGCGTTTCATTATCTCCTGTGTGGTCTATTATACTTGGTTGAAAGAACGTATTCTTCGAATTCCTTGTTTACTACCGTCGTAGAAACTTCTGACATCTCCAGGTTATTTTTTTTCATGATATTATAATATAAAAAGGCACTGCTCTTTCCCGGAATGTCTGATCAAATCAAAGTTTAGGCAAGTTTCTTTTGCAATTCCAAGTAAAAAGTTTTTAAACTTATGGTGCGAGCCCCGGGTTTTCCCAATGCGTCGCTTTCCATCCCACTAAGCTGTATACAGCATATACTGTACATTCGATGTTTCTCCTATAAGAAATTGTCTGTAGAGCATGCCACACAAGTGCTCAAATCAGCAAGCAAATTTCACACACCCTCCAGTTCTCTTGCGATTTAAAAGTGCAACTGCACAACTGATGTAAATACTGTACATGTACTTTCTTCCCTTCCCTGTTCACAACAACAAAATATCAATAATAAGAATTGCAGCATAAAGCAATTACTAAACCCGAATTAAAGCAAAAGGTGTTCAACCTGCTCCCAGATAAGGTTTAGTTGATCCAAAAATTTGGAGAGAATATTTTATGAGAAATCATATACAGTAATTTTAACAGATTATCTTGGACCTCTAAGATTTTGGAAAGAGTCTTTTCATTGAATTGGAAGAGTCCAAAATATTTTTGAAGCTCATTCCAGTAGCTGTGGAATGCTGGTCATAAGAAAAGAAGGTGCTCTGGTGATGCATCAACCAATGTATTTATACTGCAGAAATTACACCACTTTGACACCTTTGAAAATTTTATCAATTTTGGTACTTTCCTGTTATCTCTGTACCTTCCCTCTGACCAATTTAACCTGACCTAACGTAACTTCACCTAACTGCCTCCCAAAATGAGTTTCTGCTTTCTTTGGGTTTCTGCTGAAACTGATTTTGGGAGGCGGTTAGGTGAAGTTAGGTTAGGTCAGGTTATTTTGATTAAAAGATATTTGTAACTAACATAACCTGACCTACCCTAACTTTACCTAACCGCCTCCCTAAATCAGTTTCAGCAGAATGCGGAAAAATAAAATTCACGGGTTCTGGTAGGTTGTCGTGATTATGAACTTGTCCTAAAGATTTGTCTGGATGGTAGTGCGGTCTAGGAATAAGGTACAGAGATAACAGGAAAGTACTCAATTTTGTATTGAAAGGAAATTTTTTTGAAAAATTGTACTTACTTAAGTTATATTTCAACAGTTTTTAATTCAATAGCCTCATGATGAGAAACGGGTCACATTCAAAACAAATTGAAATAAAGTGAATATATAAGATCTGCTTCATTTCCGGGAAAAAAGCTGGGCACTTTCGGAATCCTCCCTCGGGGGATCTAAAGCAATATGTCCTACTTCCGCATTTTTCTCATCCGTGAACCCTGCCCGGATCTTCCCTGCCCCAGCTCCTGTTCGCTATGTACAAATCCCCGGAAAAGGTAGGATGAAACTAACACGAGGAAAAGTATCCTCATACTTTTCCCCACATGTCGCTTCCGATTCCCCAGCGGGCACAGTACTGGGTTTATTTGTCCGAACCCCGAAGGAATTCTTTTTCCCGGAAGAGGTCCAAGAAAAGATGCAAAAGTTATAAAAAAACCGATAAAACCAGAGCACGGAGAAAACAAATAACATAAAGCGTAAAATTTACTGGAGAGAAGGAATATGCGAGAGGAAAAGCGTTCTTGCCTTTGCGACACTTCTGACAGGACCCAGGAATAAATTCATGTGGTCGCAAAAGATTCACACCCCCCCCCCCCACCCCAAGGGAGATTTTTCTTCCTGAAATACCCAGAAACGCGTAAAAAAAAGCCCTTTTGAGCCTCAGACAAAAGAGGTTTGCGTTAAGATAACCTCCGAAAATTTTGAAGAAATCCAAATCTCCCTTCAGTCTGGAATAGATCTCGACAGCAATACGAATGTAGATCAGGTGCCTATTTCGGAAAGAGAAACCCCCATAATTTATTTTTCGCTTTCTATTTAGAATATCCTTTTCACGTCGAAGTCCTCGGGAAGTCGTCGAAGTTCGTTCAAATTTAAGCAGCATTCAGCCTTTAAAATATATTTTATTTAAAACAAAACAAAAATCTCGTGGCTTGCATTTAGTTTCTCATTTTTTGAGGAAAAGGGGGCTGGAAAATACCAATACGTGAATATCGTAATATCTATACGCTTTTATTTGAAAAAAGCGCACTTCTGTAAACCAAAAATCACACATTACAAGCTTGAACGGAACTTTCTTGATTCCGATGTGCATATATAGAATACAATAGAAAGTTTCACAGGAGAAACCAAACTAAAGAATTCTTGGAATTACCTAATAAACAAATGAATAGTCCATCTAAATCAAGAAAACACGA